AACTGGATTTATTTTAAAGTATGACCAAGGCTATGGACAGCTGGCAGTGAGGAGGAGCGCCACCGGCGCTAAGCGGCCTGGGCACCAGTGCGGGGATCCCGCCGCTGCTGAAGTACCACCCCCTCGCGGCGCGGGGGGGCTGCGTTTGTCCTGAGACAACAGGCCTTGCGCTGAAGCGAATATGGAGCAAGAACGGGACTTCAGGTCCTTATGCAGTAAAGCTTGCCGTGCCAGGCCACGGAGGTGCCGCTCAAGATAGCGAAGTCCACCCCGTATGCCGCTGTCAGGTGCCAGTTTTGGGATACCTCCGTCAGCCTCCTGCCAGGGGATATCTGGCTTTTCTCACACTGATCAGAGGCCAGCCACTTGCAAGGCAACCGGCACATCTAGTGTCTGTTCTAGGAGCCAGGCAAGAAGAGGCAGGATCTGGCCAGCCAGGCTAGCAGCTGGAACACCAGGGAAGGTCTAGGGTGACAAAGACCTGCACACTTCACACAGTTTCATGCAGTAGTCCATGCTTAGACCTGGTTGATGGCCCTTATTTGTTTGGAGGAATATGAAGCTGAAGTTAGAGAGAAGGAATCGCAAACTCCGTCCATCACTTGGTATAAGATAGGCTGGCTTTAAGTGAGGTCAAGACGACCGCCACAAGTGCTCTGTAGTCTTCTGTTTACAGTACTGATCTGGTAGGAATAAAGACTTCAGGCCTAGTTTCTGCTCCAATCAATATCTAATTATTTTACACACAAAATGCATCAATGTTTATTTTTACTTTCTTATGTGCCAGCTGGGAGTTGTAAATCTGCTAGTAAATCTAGACCTAGGTCTCACACTTACCAACAGGAAATATGTATGCCTCACCTGTTACATGCAGGCACTCCTACATCTGAAGTTGATGTATGCATCTTTAATTAAAAGACTTGGAACTTAATCATAGTTACCATGCAGTATTTCCTAGAAAACAAAGCTGATAAAGGTATTAAATAATTCTATGCATTTTTTTGACATGCATTGGTTCAAACTGCAGTCTCAAATGTAATAAAAGAAGATAATAAACTGATAATAATCAGTTAATTTTTATATAGGATGTTTAAATCATGCATTTCTATAAGCTATCTGTAGCAAACTTACTTGGTACTTACTCTAATTTCTTACACTAATTTTAATTAGAAGTCTGAAAGTAAACACCCCTATATTCATGGTAACATTTTTCCTTAGGTTCCAATTTCTTATTTACTGGTATTTATATTTCAAATACATTCTGTGTGTGTATACACACACGCATAGGTACAATGTGGCATGGAAGCTGCAGGCGAAAGTAAACACCCCTATATTCATGGTAACATTTTTCCTTAGGTTCCAATTTCTTATTTACTGGTATTTATATTTCAAATACATTCTGTGTGTGTATACACACACGCATAGGTACAAATAGGCATGGAAGCTGCAGGTTTTGTATTGCTATATGTATTTGGGATTGTAAAATGTAATCTAAAATAAAGGTTAAAAGTCGTCTTTACCCACAGATATAAACGTGCACACGTATCAGTATATTAGAAAGGCAAAACTTTTACTTTGCTTTCACAGATCAAATGTTTTATGATGCTGTTAAATAAATAGACAAAACCAGTAAGATGCCGTTCATACCATGTAACGTTTAGAAAATCAATAAACTGGAGAGTCAAGTAAAAACATAAAGGAGAAACTGAACTGAAGTCCAATGGAGACTGAAGTATCAGCCAAACAATATGTAACGATTCTTTTAACTTTTGACTCAAGAACAGAAACATCCTTTTCAAAACCAATTCATATAACTTGTTACTTGGCTTCCACAGCTGCTTTTTTTTGGAACAAGGGATATTCCTAAACGATTTTTTGTATTTATTAATAAGGACCAGAAGGCCATGAAAACATGAAGGAGATAACACTTTGACTTTCCCTTTCCCATGCCACATATAAGTGATTAACAAATATGCAGATTAGTAGTGGGGTCATTTATTTATCACTTTCTTCCAATCACTCAAACAAAATAGGATTTTTTTGTTCTCTCAAGTAAACTATTTGACACTGTACTGATGTTTAAAGTGTTGTTTAAATGAAAACTGGAACTAGAAATAGCTGTTTTTTTAATGTGTACCTTTCGAGAGTGGTATATCAGCATCCTCTCAGTGGCGAAAGTTAAAAACTGCAGTTACTTCTGGCCCAGTCAAATTTACTTTTTAAGTGGACTGCTGCAGCAATAATGTCTCATATGAAGGTAATAAAGTCTTTTACTCAGCAAGTAGGAAAACTGTTTATCAGTCATGAGGAAACGAGTTGTGGTGTCTTTCATGATCTGAAAAGCATTTGCATTTTCTGGGTGGTGCTCCAAGAAGCTCCTTTGCAGACAAATGTCTACGTCTGTTGTAATGGGCTGACAAAAAGCAACGTTCAGGATAGATTCTTTTTTTCATTTTCTGAAATAATTTCCATTAAAGATTCATAATCAGCATATTCTCTCAGAGTTTGTATCATTTCATCTAGCATTTCTTCCCCTAGTATGAAACACTCGATATGATGCACTGATCTGCTTATCCTGTGGTCAGTAATCCGGTCCTGTGGGAAGTTGTATGTTCTGATCTTCTCCGATCTTCCTTTAGTCCCAATCTATCAAACAAGAAGAATCAGTTTATCATCATTGTCTTTTTATAAAAAGGATGAAATATTAAGCATCTAAAGCAAAAGCTTTCTCTTCCTCCCATGATTATCCAAAATTTGTTATAGTTACACAGTACTCAGACCAATTCAGTAGTTGCAGTAATTGTTCTCAAACATGTAAAAGAACAATTTTACTGTATCTTTTTCTAATACTATTCTGGTTCTTCATGCTGTAATCCAGTTTGTCTCACTAGATCTCTAGAATTTACATACTACTGAAATTTTAAGGCTGGCTAATATACGACCTTTATTGCTGAAGTAGAATGAAATTTTTTTGCCTCGTGTAAGTCCTTCCTGGGCTCCTGTTCCTCTATATTTCCATTTATTATTTCCAGTTCAACACAGAAGTTACCCCAAGAACATATGCTCGTACAGAATTATATCTTTACTACGTGAAACTTACTTGAATCTTTCGAACACTGTTTCTCTTTTTGGTTTCTTCTTCCAGTTTGGCGTTGTAGAGTTTAGCACATAGCATTTGCATAGCCTTCTCTTTGTTTCTAATTTGAGATCTTTCTTGCTGACATTCAGACACGATCCCTGCCAAAAATATCATGACATTTAACACTTAACAGTAACACATACTAAAAGGGTTTTGCAATTTCTAGAAGATTTTTATTATGTTACAATAAGCTGTTTCTTTCTTCAATACATATTTTGGACTGGGAATGTAAAAGTCCAGGCTTATTAATGTCTAACGAGACATTTTGGGAGAGAAGTGCAGGCTGAGTTGTACAGGTGCTTTAAGCCATAAGACAAGAAATTTAATGTTGGACAACAGGTAGACAATGAAATAAAAGACAAGTGATGTGATCTGACTTACAGAAGACACTTTTAATACTTGTAATTTTTGGCCAGAGTTTCAGGAAATTTAGGATTTAGAGAGCAGTAAAATACATGAGATGATAGTGAGTATACAGAATATGATCAGAATATACAAAAGTGGGCACTGTTTTCTTAAAACAAAAGGTGTGGTTTCTCCCCCCAAAACATACAATTCAAGTTAAGATGAGAAGTGAACAGCCTAAGAAAGGAGTGGGGTGAAGAAATACAGGAAGAAGACAGCACAAGCTAAGTTGTTATTTGGATTTATTTTAAGTGACTCTGGTAAGATTACAGTATGCTTTTATAAGATTACATAGTATTACTTTATGAAAGGCTTGTTTATAAACAACTTTCTGGATCACAATCAAGGTTTATAAAAAGAGTTAGGATGAGAGAAACAGAAGAAGTAACAGGACAATTGTAAAGGAAGAGAGATCAAGAGGAATAAAGAAGGGAAAGGTAGAATAGGAAAATGTAAGGAGATAAGGTGAGATATAAAACCCCCTATGAGCCATCTCTAGTGCATAACCACAAAAAAATTTGCAATACATTTTAAGATTTCTATAACAAACACTAATAACGGCCTTCAGCAAAAACTAAGACCATTTGCTGGTTTTAGTTTGTGGGTTTTTTTTTTTCCTAAACATGCAGGCAATCCAAAACTTTTTGAATCTGGAGTGCCTTTTTGTCACCGTATCTTGAGCAGAATTCTATCCTCTCCACTGTTTACCTCCTGCTTTACTGAGGTGATGCAACAAGTGCAGAATGGATTAATGTCTTCAATAAATATGAAGAAATGGGTGGCAAAAATCTGGATACGTGAAGATAAAGAGCACTCAGGATTACCCTGAGGCTGTAAAGCCTGACTAATGTTTGTGGTAGAGAAGAGGAAAAGTTAAAAAGCAATGAAAGTCAAGGCAGCTGTTGTGGATTGCTCAAAGGGAAGTAAAAAGCTTAGGAATGGCAATAAAAAAAAAGATACGATAGCTAAAATCGGGTAGCATATGAGGGTGTATCTTATCCCTCCTACGTTTCCTAGCCTGAGCCCTGGGGATGGGCCTCCTAATTATGTGTGTAATCTATGGGAAAGGAGCCAGCAGACAAATGGAAGCTGGCATCCTGTGTAGACTCTGCAATTAAAAGCAACATTTTAATTCGGAAATAGAGCAATCTCTCTTTTGGAGACTAGTCAAGAAAAGGCAAATCATCAGATTTCAACCTACTCTGTTTTTCAGTTTCTTTTCCATTATTTGAAAGCTTAAGTATAACTTCTTTATAGAAACTGATCTGGACGCTTTTAGTGTGTCATGCTTAATGGCAAAACGGATAGCTTACCTACTGAAGTAGTCTTCGCTGTTACAAATTGGAGTGGGCACGAGATGGTGCGTTTAGAGTACTATAAATGCATATGAAAACTATATGAAAACTCTGCTCTACTGTTGTCCAGGTTTGAAAATAAAACCATTGTTTCAGAAGAAATTCTGACAGCAGTTTTGCAATGTAGGTTTTCTACTAAGGAAAAAATGAAGCACCTGTTGGAATATGAACTATCCGTACAGCACTGTCTGTGGTATTGACATGCTGGCCTCCAGCTCCACTAGCTCGCTTTGTTTCTATCCGTAGATCTTTTGGATTAATATGCAGCCTCATCTGTCATGGGAGACAGAAAAGAAAAGAAAAAACCCCAAAAAGAACACATTTATGTTGTTTCTTTCTAGACAGGTGTCAAATATGCATAGTTGGTTTATTTTATAAGGTACATTCAGGCAAGATCAACCTTTTTAAAGTTTATGAGTGGTAGCCCGCAACCACTTATAAACATATTAACAAATCCTTGTAGCCAGATTGGAATGCGACATGATGGAAGCCAGGAAATCAGACAAATAGTAGCTTAAGGCATAACCACGCCTTAGCACTAATCTTCCCCTTCTTCTGAAAGCTCTGCACCCTCTTCCAGCAGTTAACCAATATTTGAACTTGACCAGCTGGTTTTTAGATAAAATGGAACATAATCCCTTTGCTGGCTTGGGAATGGGACGATGGTCTCTGGGAGGAAGGAGCGAGACAACTTCGGGAGAGAATAGGAAGGAGTAACATCTTTGACCAATTTGCTAGGTCAACAGGAAACAAAAATCAAAACAAAGCTTTAATTCTTAGCCAGTTGTTTTTAACCAAACAAATACGGCGAGAATGAATTATCACCATACACTTTGGAAGGGGAAAGTGAGGACACTATGAAAATGGGGAAGAGGAGGTGCTAAAAGAAATCTCTATGAGCTCTGTAAACTAATTCAGTCTTTTGTTACTTTGTAGAAAATGTAAAGTTTTCCACAAAACATGCAAGACATAGTCACAGTGAATTTTCAAAGTCTAGTGAAGTAAACTGCCAGTGATTTTCTTGAGATTAGGATTATGAGGAAATCCAGAAATTCTTTATTTCAATCCCGTAGACAAAAATAAAAATAAACAAACAAATATGACTTATTTTAAAACTAAGATTAAAAAAAATCATTGAGAGAGAGTAACAAGAGAGACAGAAAACACTTGGGTATCAGCAATACGGCATGTAAAAACATTGCTCATGGTAAAGTCTGTTATACTGAAAGATAACTATTACCTCGGTGGGTTGGGGTAATACCGCAACAGTCATTGTGCTGGTATGAATGCGTCCTTGTTTTTCTGTCTTTGGCACCCGCTGAACACGATGCACTCCTCCTTCAAATTTCATGTACTTGTAAGCCTCAAGACCTGCTATACTGGCAACTGCATGTCTTAGGCCACCTTAAATACGGAAGAAAAACAGTTGTAAAGCTGCAAGAAAAACTGCTGGTACTACGCTGTTGTATTTCAGTGTATTTAGACATCATTGTCACTTGTTTCTTAAAATTATGAATTTTCCATTTAAATACTTAGGCAGAATTATACCGAAAATGCAAGAAAACTCTTAAAAACAAAAGCCAGACAGACATACTCACACACTATCTCAAGTAAAGGACTGTCCAATTCTTTTTTATAGAGTCCAATTTAGTTTTTTTTATACACGTAAAAAGATTGTCTACGAACCATGTACATACATATGTACACACATACAATCATAAACCATAGTAGAACTCTTAACACCAGTAGTAAGTTTACATAAAGATCAAATTTTGAAAACCACCTTCAGAAACTACATCAATTTTTTAATTTTAACTAAAGGATGAGTATTATTCATACTCCTCTTCTTATCCATTCTCTTCTATGCATCCTACCCATGTCTCATCTTTGCTCTTCCATTTCATTTTAATCTTTTGCTCCCTTGGAGCGAGCAGAACTCCAACTCCTGCCCCTCTTACCAATACATACAGCAAAACACTTGACAGCAATGTCCTAAAAACTAGCATTGAACAGCTTGGAACTTGGAAGTGAAGCCCAATACAATAATGGTTTCATGACAGAAAGAGTTTGTTGCAATACTAGTTTATGGCATTCTTGCTCTTCCTTGTTTGCTAGTGTGCAAACCCTTCAGTCATGCTAGTGTAACTGTCTGAAGGATCAGAGAAGTATGGCACTATAAATGAATGTAATTTTTTACCCATTTTGGTTTTTAATCCAGCTCAGTTCCCAGATCCCATTCTCAGCACAGTGGATGGTATGCCAAGGGAACGATTAAAGGGGAGATAGGCAGCCTTGAAAGAGTATTGCTGTGGAAGTCTTGCAACATGAAACCACAGGCAAGGAAAACAAGAGGCACATACTTCTCAGAAATACTGTTTTAGGCTATCTCTGGACTAAGGAAATCAACCATAGGGACAAGATAGCAGCTTTTTGAAAAAGGAAAGTGAAGACAACGTAGAATCTGAAAATGCCCTGCAGAGCAGGAAAAAATCATCAGCCAGAATGTAGGCCAGGTTTTTCACCTCCACAGAGAAGGTTTGCACGTTTTTATTCTACAGAAATTTAACATTCCCTCATAACTTTACTAAAACATATTTCCTTTTACAGTCACATTTGTGGAAAATAGCCTAAACTGCCTCTTCCTTTCTCTTTCATCTCATTTTTGTCCTTCTGACTTTTAAAATTTTTCAGCTACTTGTACAAATCTGTACCACTTTGATTCCAATGCACTGTTCAACATACCCAGTGCTTCACTGATTTAATTTATAGCCATTATCTACTATCAATTCCGTAAGATAAATCTGTCGTGTTTAGAATAAATCTGACCATAAAGCATGTAGTTTAACAAATAAGAGTATCTGTCAAAATCCTCAGTTTAGATCAGTAAGTTTCATTCTAACAGGTAGTGTGAAATCTTTCTACTGCTATGCAAACGCTATTCAAATGAACAAAAGATTTCTTCTTTACTCTAAAAGAATCTTATATAACCTAAAATAATTAATGTAGTTGAGTAACAAAACTTACTTACTCCTTTACATATGAAAGCAAGTACTACAAAAATCATAAGCAACCTCTGCACATGAGGAAGAAGCCAGGCTATGTCAGGAGTAAAAATATTAATTACGTGATAAGCAGTTCATTGCAAAAGCTAATGTTCTGTCTTTTCTCTCTCACTTCTCCTGGCATTAATATATATACCACGGGTACAGCCTGTCTATTTGAGCTGCTGCCACATCTGTGACATGTTCAGGAGAGTTTAAGTTGCAGTGATAACAGCGTGCCTGTGGCACCGTAGTGCTTAGCATGAGATGACCAAGAAACTGGTTCAAAAGACAGGTATTTAGGTCATACTGCTTCAAATCAACTATTACCAACACAGGTTTAATATAAAATGCAGCCAGATCCAATGAAATTTCAACAAACCCTTTACCCTGGCAGACATGTCATAGGCCTGTAAAATAGAGTTAGCTCTTACTAACTATACCCTTTCAGTTAAAATGTCCCTCTCTATCCTGAAAGCTGATGTGCACAGAACAAGGGTGTAAGTTTGCACTCATTTTTTATGTGGCATCTTATACCCAGATTGAGACAAAGTCCCATATCTGTGTCTCTGCCTGCCACTACAGGGTGAGAGGCAGTGGATAAATAATGACATGTGGGTTTGTGCTTTAACGTGCACGCTAAATCTTGAACATGCTATTTGTATGCAGTGGCATCCCTTGGGGTAGGTCAATAAAGTTAGTTAAGAGCGGACTGAAACCAATTCTTAATTGCAGCTTTGTTTAACATTCACCTTGTTCACACATGCTCACATTCAGGTTTCAGCCAAATTCTGGAACTCTCTGAAATGAAGGAGTTTGACGTTTTAATGTGGGACCTTGCTTTTGCTCATGCACTCCATAGAAATGGAGCGTGGATGGGATGCGAGAGCCTAGTGTCACCAGCAAGCATCCTTAACTCCACTCTCACTCAGCACAGCACTGACACTTTGAACCTGAGGGTTCAAACATGTCTTTCAGTGGCAGTGCCATCTATAGTGCCTCTACCTCCCAATTTATTTCTAGCTCCTCGGTTTTGGTAATATGTGGTCATGCAAGTAAGTAACACTGCAAGAGGCTGACAAAGGCTAGGGCTGCCTTTATTGTTGTCTAAATTTACATCCTACGTTCCTAAACATAGATTTCAGTGCACAGGCAAGCCCTCAGCAACAAGAGACTTTAAAATAAATATATATCCATTAAAAGCCTAGCAGTTTCAAAGAGAAAATAAGGCTAGATATATTCTCGGTTAATGTATTACTTCTATTTCCCATTTAAGGCATTAAAGAGAATGCCTTGAGGGTGTGGGCTCCTTGTCCAAGGACTAAGCTTTCACCAAAAGGTTAGTCAAGCACAACTCCCTTTCTCTTCCCATCACAGGACTGCAAGTTGAGTCAGACCTGACTTAAAACTATCCAATAACAGAGTTTTTAAGCCCAATCAGTGGATTGATCCAACTAGCACTGTGGCCTCCAAATTGCTAGAGCTGAGAGAGAAAAGGAACATATGGCTGGCAGCTGGAAGGTGGGACAGCCCTTGTTTAAGCTGACTGTAAACCTGTGCTCTGAACGTGAAGTTGTACATACGGCTGGGGTTGCCTCAGTGGAAAGGGCAACTCTCCTCTCCCTTTAGTACATGAAATAAAGACAACCCAGACCCTTCTCCCATTCTGTTTACACTTATCTAACCCACACCATGTTTATTCCATTTACTTTAAAAAAAAAGTTAATGTCAGCTTTTAAGGCTGAACTGCTCCTGGCAAAGCGTTTGCCTGGTTATGAATGGGGATAAACATGACTCTCCTCTTTCACCAACAAGCTGCGCTGTAACATGAAGCTTCTTCTTGTTCCTACCTTCACTTGCACTGTGCCAACAGTTTACTTGACAAATGACCTCTTGGCCATAAAAAAAAATTTATTAGTAGTAACAAATCTAGATAATAGACAATACTGAATGCAAGTGTCATTGAATTAAAAAAAGTGTATTAAATGAATCGACAGCAGCTACTCTAGAAGGAGATTCTGATACTGTGAAAACCTGAGTTCATGTTCATCAACTTGAAATAAGTGACCTGCTAAGAATTCTAAAAAAGTTATTTGAACATTTTACAGATGTAACACTTTTTAAAATCAAATTCTATGACAGATTTTAAGAACCCAGAAGTGTAAGTGAAATACATAGTAAGTTAAATTGTATCTGCATATCTCAAAGGCGAAGGCATAGGCCTCCCTTTTTTGAAGTGTGAATACAGACAACAAATCAAGCCTGTACCTAGATTTTCGAGTTCCCAGTTTGTGATGTCTGACTGTATTTCTTCCATGGAGTTCAATTTTTTAACCTTCTTCTAATCCCTCAATATATAACAGCGAATCAAAAACTGTACTATGCAAGAAGGGTCTTAGGGCACAGAAAGACCCTTATTAGAAGGGGTAAAGTAGCTCACTGACATGAAGCTCAATTAGGAGAGTTGTGGATATTTATTTTTTGTGAATTTCTACACGGTTGAAACAGAAAGGGTTCAAGATACTTAAAAATATCATTGAGTCCAAAATATAGCATAAGTAAACATGAGCATTAGAAGATGCTTCACATTTCTCAAAGCTTGCTAAAAATCTCTCTGCAATTATGTTAAGTGTTGACTGAAAAAAGATTAGAGTTTTTCTGGCAGATTGCATATCCTAACATCTTAGCTTTTCTCACTTCTTCTTCAAAGTTTCACTAAAAAGGAAAAAAAATGCTGATGAAAGTATGAATACAAGTAAAGTTTCACAACAAATCTGAACTAGGAGCAGTAAGCTGCCGAAGTGCCCATCTACTGATCCATACCCGCTATGATATACACATTACCTCCACAGCAATACGTAAGCAAAATGTGCTAGCTTTACTTACAACAGCATGGATAACAGTAAGCCTGCAGATCTGTTAACACCGACAGACTTAGCAAATCTAGCCTGCTGAGAAACGTGGCTTGCAATCCATCAATCAAAACCCAAAATCCCTGCCACTGGTTGGACATGTTTCGCATTGCAGTTTCACAGTTGGCTTAAGCTGACTGAACCTCTCGCTGCTGGAAGGAGGTCCTGGTTTTCTCACTGCCACCACCAGTAGCCACACACTTCTGCCTCCACCGGCCCCATGAGCATTTCTCCTCTACTCTTGTGCTGGATTGCCTGAAAACTATTCGGGGTGGGGGGGGTGGGGCGGGTGCTATTTTTCAGTTGGATTGACTTCATGATGAAACTCTGCAAAGACACATAATCCCAAGTGCCAATGCAAAGAAGTCAGCAGCAACTCAGAGACAGCAGCCTGATCTTTGTGAAACAACCTTACACACTAATTGGATTAAGCTAAAATTAACTAACACGTGCCACTGCCTCAGTTTGTTGTGTAAACCTACCAATCCCCATCTTTGCAAAGACACTGTTCCATGAGATGCAGTGAACCAACTTCACAGCTCATCATCACGAGAGGATCCAATTTTTCCATCTCCTTGCATTCAGCCCCATGTTGCTGCTTATCTTATGCTAGCTCTAAGGCTCATGAGGACTGACTTAACACATTAACTAGGCAAAAAACTACTGCTGTCATAAAAAGCAAAGTCTTCGCCAGTTTAAGTGAAAGGACATCAAAACTGACAAAAAAAAAAAGAAAGAGGTAGGACTGTTCAGACAGGCAGAGAGGCAGTGAGAAAGAAGGGAGAAAGGAGAAACATCTCCTTTCAGTGGCATCAAGCTGTTAAACTGATTACCTGTGAAGTTTCGGTTGAAGACTCATAAATAATTAGATCTCTTACCTCTCCTCTCAAAATCTCAACAATTCCCCCACTTTGCTCATCCATTAGCTGTTACAGATGAGCTATATCCAAACATCTCATTTCCTTATATAAATCCTCAGATGACATTATTTCAGATAAATTCAAGATGTTTGAGATTAAACCTCAAGAATAGTTTTAATTATACTAATCCCTCTCTGCCAAGGGATCCATAATAATAAACAGACTTTCAACCTGTCACCAAACTCATCTATAAACACTAGAAACATTACGTAATTAAGTAGAACAGCATATCCAAATAAAAAGTGTATGTAATCTGTATTTGTAAAAAAATAAAGCTAAAACAAGATATCTGCATCACTTTATGAATTTTCTTCTGCCACGCACTTAGTTGCATTTCTACTTTTTGAAACTACTGAAAGACAAGTTTTATTTTTTTAGCACTTTAGTATTTTAACAGTACTTCTGAAATGGAATTTCATTCTCAAATACAGAAGCTGAGGAAAATTGTACTCAGACATTCAAACAATATTCAACTTCTAAAATTACGTTAGTGCAAATTAGCTTCCTGTAGTCAGGAAATTCAAGTGTCATATGAATGAGTGTTTCAAGTTAAATTAAAGAGTTACAAAGATTAAGTATTTTCATTACTCACCTATTTCACTGGGAAAGTATTCTAATATTTCAAATTTCCACTTTTTATAGGCAGCATACCGTTGATACATATCAAATATCTCTGAGGTGAACAGCATGGCTTCCTGCCCTCCAACTCCAGCGGTTACTTCCATGACAAGATCACTCTTGTCTGTTTCTTCTGAAGGAATCAAAAGCAACACTATCTGCGAATACAAAAACACCCAGCTAAGACTTCCCTCTGACGCTGCTATCCACAACTGAGACAGTATAAAACGCCAGACAAGTCTGTAATCGATCTAGGCTGCGTTCTCCTGCACTAACTCGTTGGTCGCCCAGAGGACCGGCTTCTCACGCCTCTTGCGGTGAAGCAGCAGCAGCCAGGAGGAGGCGGGGGGGGATGCTGCATTGCAGGAGGGCTCCAGAGTGTCTGTTCGCAGCCGCAGGAGCTACATAGGTCTCTCTCAAGACCTATGAAACTTCACAGAAGTTTTCATCCATCAGGAGCATTGCGACGTTTGGACACCACAGGACACGCCAGTTCTTGCAAGACAACTGAGCATCTCCCTTCCCATCAGATTCCCTTTTAATCCAGTCTCAACTGCGGAGCTAAGGACTTATGGCTGTTCATCAGGACAGACCGTCAACAACAACTCAGCTGTATTATTCATTTATTTATTTAAAAAGGGAGAGCCAGCCTTACATTGACCTGTAGAAGAAAGATACACTAGAACCAAAGAACTGTATCACAATTTTGCAGGCTGGATCAAAACTCTGGATGATTTGCAAATGCTTTTCAATCATCTTCCTTTACTAGCATTAGGTGATGTTTCTTTCCACAGACTACTTTTCTTTTGGCACAATCATAAGTATTTAAAAAAATATTTATAAAGTGACTGTTGTGTTGTTGTGGAAGGAATAAAGAATGTGACAATGCCAGCTTTTACTTCACCAGTAACATTAAGAATATGTAACACTTTGTTTATGTAAAGATCGTTATTTTTATGTTAAATAACATAGATACTATGCAGAACCTATATAAGGTAGCAGTCTGAAGTAGTTACATAGTATTAAACTATTTTTTTCAAAATCACTAGTGTGTGTGATACTATACAAGTTTAATGTTTCCAATAGATAAAAAGCTGGACATCCATAAAGGTACATCCAGACAAGACAAACTAGAGCACCTACTTATAAAGATATATTGATTCAAACAGTTTCAGACACAAGTAGGCACTTAAAGGCTGTCTCTATACCATCTGCATTTTTCTTTTTCCCTGGATAACAGACACTAGTTGAGGAATGTAATTGGCAGGGAGGGGAGGAGGAAAAGAATTTATCTTGATGAGAAGACAATTTGGCTCTGTTAATTTAAGAATAGCAAGGAAATAGAGGCTTTCAAAGGGGATCTAACCTGGTGTTTCAGTTCAGCTATCTCTTCTTCACAGGAGGCGATTTCCCTTTCTGCAAGCTTCCGGAAATCTTCGCTCTCATCTGGAATATTTGAGTATAGTTAATCCTCGGACTTATATCCGTGCCACCCTCAGAAAACCTTCTGAAAAATAACTGCATGAAGAACTTACTCTACAAAAAAAAACCCCACCACACAAAAACCCCCCAACACGCTAAACCTGTCAGAAAATGAGATTAATAGTACGATCTGTAACGAAGATACACAATATATATTAAGAGTGTTTTCTGGTATTATTCAGGTATGACACATGGGAAAATCTGAAATACAAGAAGTTCCACTTAAACATCAAAAAAAAAAAAAAGCCCCCAAAAACCCCAA